GCTTTCGTGAGCTACAGATGAAGTGAGCTGTAGCTCACGAAAGCTCACGCTCAAATAAATTGGTTAGTCTCTAAGGTGCCACAAGTCCTCCTTTTCTTTTTGCGAATACAGACTAACACGGCTGCTACTCTGAAAGGAGAAAGTGAGACATTAAGGAGGAGGGTAAGACGGGGCAAGGGAGGTCAGGAGGTGGGAAGGAATGGAATAGGTCTCAAAATATTTTCCAGAGATGGGTGTCGTTATCCCTATTGTACAGATGAAGAAGCTGAAACAGAGAGGTGAAGTTTTGCCCAAGATGATACATTGAGTTAGCAGCAGAGCTAGAAATAGAACTCAGGTTTCTTAGCTCCCTGACACGATCCCCTCTGCCTTCAGGTGCTCAGTACCTCTCAGGATCAGGCCCCAAAGGGGTACATTTAATAATGGATGTTATTGTGTAGGAGCAAAGTTCAACTATAAGAGAGACTCTCTTAGAAGCATCTTTTCTTCCCATTCCACATGTAACCAAGTTCTGCTGAACACTAATCTCATAAACAGAACTTTGTTTTTAAATTCTATGCAGAACATTTTTTTTTTTTTTACTGTAAAGGCAATACCTGTTGATTTAAGAAAATCATCCAAAATTGTGGGTGTATTCAAGAGGACAGGTTCAGGAGATTAACCCAAAACAAAGAAATGGGACCTGTTCTTTTCTGTTCACCGGCACTAGTGCAAGTGAGACAGAATGTGTAAGAATTTAATTCCTTTAGACATGCATCCTGAAAGTGTTACACTTACAATTTTCCTTCACAGAGCCAAATTTTGTTCCCAGCTATACCACTGTATATCCAGAGTAATAGAAATGAAGCCAGTGGAGCTATTCCAAATTCACACTATGTAAATGAGATTAGCTCATATTCTTCATTAGCCCTATCCTGAAGTATTGTGCAGTGTTGCTGTGCACTATTAAACGGCTGTTGAATTTCACATTGGGGTGACTGCATTTCTGTGGTGAATTAAATGATCCCTATACATAAGGCAGCATTCCCCGCATGCTCTGCATTGAACCAATTGGCAAACTTTCATTGATATCACTGGGAATTATATGTGCGCAATATGAAACTGCAGTGCAGGAAAGAGATCCAGTGTAAATCAGATGGTGATGTCCACATGGTCTGTAACTCATTTTGCGAGGCATTTTGTGGTCCCTTTGAAAGAATGGCAGTATGGGCTTATTTCTGCTCCCACTGACTTCAATGGGAGATACGAAGTTTGCAACCAGATCTGGATCAGAACATCTTCAGGATTCAGAGGAGTAAAGGATGGAGGTTTTGGACCCAGCATTTTGTTTATTGTCAATCTCTAATATAAAATGTTAATTGTTAACTGATTCTCCAATCCTCAAAGGGCACTTTGCGCCACATAAGCATAAATAAGGCTGAACACTAGTGGCCTGATTCAATCCCCAATTAAATCAATGGGAGCTACAGGGTACACAGTGCTTTGAAAGCCAGGTCATGCATTTACATGACTAAATATGGGGAATGAAGGATCAGTATCAACTCCCACTGGTTATAACTAAACTCTTGGATCAGCCCATCTCATTTTATTTATGTCCAAACATTTGTTGTAATGGAAGTAAATTTACTATAAAGACACTTTCGGACAGGATAATGAAAATAGAAGTGTCTACTTCACCATTTATATTCTATAAATGCCTCAGCATTTATATTGCAACAGGAGAAGATTCAAGTGACATTTTCTGATAAATACCACATTAGACAGCTGCAATTTACAATGCATATATTTTTAATGGTGCTTCTAACCTAAATTAAATGCTCCTAAAATATGGTACTTATGGAAAACAAATGTGTGTTCTAGCAATTTTGTTGTTCAGGGTACACTATTTTTTAAAAACATCTTTATCCTGTCATACAGTAAATTATGCACTGCACTTTTGTAAACTTTCCCCTTGGGAACTTATTCACTGAAGTGGAAATGTCTTTTTTACATGTTCATACCTCCAGAGAAATAGAATGAAATATATACTGAGCATCTAGAGGGAATCCATATAGAATATGGAATTTGGGCAGTCTTAATGCCTGTATTGTTTATGTGTCTTACACTGAAATGGTGCATTGATGGTGGCTCAAATCCTTAGTCTTTGACAAAAGCGGGAAAGTCACTGCATTCTATAAAAATACTGGACAAAGCTGGTGTTTACTCATCCAACAGTGGGAAAGAACATCTACCACTGGCATCTCATCCCTCACTTCCACAGGAAGTGATGTCACAGAGGGGGAGGGATAAAGCTCCACTTTTTCCTCACATGCTGCTTTTGATGTCTGAAAGAGGGAGCCTCATGTATTGCTCCCCCTGCCCTCCCTGTAGGAAGTGACAGCAATGGAGGGGGGAGGGGAATAAAACTCTGCTGGCCTCCTTGAAAGTTGCAAAGGCCCAGGAGGCAGGAGCTGCCTTTGCAAATAAATGGCTCTATCAGAGTGAATTTAGGCATATGCCCAGGGAAGTTGAGGGCCCACACCAGCATGACACTCCCTTGCTGGAAGATGATGTTGGGGATAAGGGGCTGCTTACTTTCCCTTTTGTCCATGCTATTAGGCTCAAATACCTTTATTTTTTGTCTTGTTTCTTTTTTATTTATGTTTCAAACCATCTTTTTACAAAGAGTTGGCATACTTTATAAAATAAATCCTTATTTTTAATGTTAATTTATTATAATTAACAAGACCTCTTATAACTGCTATTATGACTATGTAAACTGCTCAGCTGCTCCTAGCACTGCTCATTTTGGAGTCTACAAAATTTTCCTTTATTCGTCAAACGTCTTAAGTGCTGCACTCAGTTGTATTTTAAGGGCTATGTTTCCCCATCATTGTATTTTAATTGTAAAAGTTTAAAATGTCTCCAGAAAGGGAACTGAGGAATAAAAGTAGAGTTACAAGGAGAAAGTACATTACAGCGGAATCTACTGTGATGCCTAAAGTATCCATACAAAGCAAAAGGAGATATAACAGGTCTCCAATCACAGCCACAGCTGTTAAAGCCGTTCAGCTCTCTGACAATGCTTCTGATTTCCCTAAAACTACTTCTACACCTGCGGTTTCTTTGAAAACTGTAACTCTTGCAATGCAGGGATTGAAGGAAAGGTTTGCTGTATTTGAGTCCAAATTAGATTTGCTTTCTAATAGAACTGCACAGGTAGAAAACAGAGATGTCAATGAAAAGAATTTTGAAAAATTGCAGAAGAAATTCAATTCATTGGAATGTGAACAACTTTACACACAATCCCTTATGGATGCGTGAATGAAAGATTATTCCTTCAGATGCAGGAAGACTGACATTGCTGAAAATGATATTAAACAACCAATGCTAGGATAGTCTTGAACTACCTGTGGTGGGGAGGAAATTTCTTACTGAATATCTGCTTTTTTCTTATTTTATATCTTATTTTGACCCAGCTTTCTGGTAACTAAAGGTATTTGGGATTGCAAATAAAATCTCACAATCCTCTAATCTGCCAGATTAAGTTTTCCTTTATGGTAATTCTAGTACCTCAGTTTCATATAGAGAAAGAATTATGCAACAAGAATGGGAAGGAAAAGGGATTCTTTTATATAATGACCATACGATCCATCTCTCCCCAGATCTTTCTATGACAACTCATGCTGGAAGATGGAAATATTATTATTATTATTTATTATTATTTTATTATAACATAACAGATCTTGTTATAAAGAGGACGGTGATAAATTGTTCTCTTTATCCACTGAGGATAGGACAAGGAGTAATGGGCTTAAATTGCAGCAAGGGAGATTTAGGTTAAATGTTAGGAAAAACTTCTTAACTGCAGGGGTAGTTAAGCACTGGAACAAATTACCTAGGGAGACTGTGAAATCTGCATCATTGGAGTTTTTAAAGAACAGGTTAGACAAACACCTGTCAGGGATGGTCTAGATAATACTTAGTCCTGCCTCTGTACAGTGGACTAGACTCAATGACCTACTGAGGACTCCTTCAGTCCTACAATTCTATGACTCTTGCTTTCTGTTTTTCTATATCTATTTATTATCCTGCAAATTTATACCTGTTTTAAAAAAATAAAAAACACATAGCCCAAATCCTCAGCTGTAGCCAAAGAGTGGACATTACAAATTGGGAGAGGGATGCACAAGTGGCTTTAAGCCACCTTTCTGCTTCTCAATCCATCTTGCTATGTGCCAATCTGGTCTCCTGATGTAAATTAGAGCAATTCTTAGATGGCTCTAACTTCTGCTGGCTGCCAAAGGCCTCATGAGGCAGGTATAGCAGGCAAGAATCAGCAGGATCATATTGCCTACAACAACTGCAAGTTGTGTAGTGGCAGAGAAGTTGCTATGCCAGCTCTGTGTCATTGAGGATCTCCACATTTTGATGATCCTCCAATGGCCAGCAACCCTGGCTTTAGGCCACTTTGTGCTGATAATGTGGAGAAAAGCGGACACACTGCAGCTCAGGATCTGAAACTTATGTGTTCATTGCAGTGACTGTCAGGAGTTTTGGAACTCTCAAAGAGTAGTAAAGAGGTTGTTTCTGAAGGTCTTGAAAGTGATCTGCAAGAGATTTCAGATGCTATATTGCAATTTCATATTTTGTGGAGAATACAAGCTGTTGAGTCTGATGTTAATAGACACTGCAGATTTTAAATCTGATCCACAGACAGAGTTTGTTTCTCATTTCTCTTATGCGAGATCTTGTCTGCCCCAAGATGTATAGTGGTCTTAATCATGGTGACAAGGATTAGCATCTGTAATTGTTGTGAGATAATTTAGATGCAGTATTTTATGTACTTTGTCTTTGATGCTGTTATAATTTCTGAAATTATAAATATATTTTTACTAGATATAAATAGCCAAATCTACCACTGAAGTCAATGGAGTTGCACCTGCTTATGAATGCAGTTAATGTGTTCCAAAGTGTATTAATGGGCATCACACACAAATAAGGTAGATAACAATCTCATGGTGCTTTTGGGGACCCATCTTTAGTTACTGAATTTAATTTTTAATGCAAATCATATAAAGCTAAGCTCTTAATATAAAAACATCCTGTTAATGCTAAGTATGTGCTCATCATCCAAAGGTTATCTTTTTTTTCCTTTTCTTTCTTTAACATCTTATATCGTCAAATGTATAGGGTGTTCAGAATTTTCTGCCATTTATTTTCGTGTTGTGCTGGTTTGTTCAGACTTCTGAGTGTCATGTTGATGGATTTAGCCTCTTTCTCTATTGTTCTGCTGTCTTTTTCTCTATCCAGATGATGTCCACATTATCACTTGCATTGGGCATTGTATAGGTGGATCCCTAAAGCATGTCCAAAATCTGTCCATTGTCATCTTCTTACCATTTTTGATTATTTGGATTGGTTTGCTCTACTTATAATTTCTGGTGTTGCAAGAAACACTTTCCAATGGACTCTGAAGATATTCTGAAGGCATTTACTTTGAGATGAGTTGATTTTCTTGTCAATTTTTGGTGTAGGTTTCTATGACTCTGCTCCATAAAGGAGGACAGAAATACTGCCGGTGCTAAAAATTCATATTTTTTGTCAGTATCAATCATGTTACTTTTCCAAATCTTTTCAAGTTTATGAAAGTTGTTTGCTGCTTTTGATAGTTGTTGCTTGACATCTAGCATAATGTCACCATCATTGCACATCTCACTCCCTAGATAGATTAAATGACTTTTTTTCTTCTAGTGTTTCTTCATCCACTCTTGCTTTTGGTTGCTTTTGGGATGTTGATAGCCATATATTTTGTCTTCTGGTTGATGAACAAACCAACTTTTTTGCTGCCAAAAGCTTGGTTTTTTTTCTTCCATTAAACAATGCATTGAACTAAGCAGGACAAGTTATCAGCAAAAATGAAGTCATCCAATTGTGCTTTATCAATTTATAAAATTCCTCAGTTGCCTTTGGTGGTTACTTTCTTCAAGATACAGCTAATGACCAGTGCAAACAATAGTGGGGATATAAGACACCCTTGCCTTACTCAAGTTGTCACTGCCAACCATTGGCCGATGTTGAAGGTCACACTTTATATCTTTCTTGGTACGTTCCAGGATGATGTTGCACATGGTTTTACCAGGCACTGAGAGTAACATGATTCCTCGCCAGTTACTGAAGTTGATAAGGTCACCCTTCTTTGGCAATTTTACTATGATGCTTCTCTTCCACTGAGTTGGGTTCTTTTCTTGGTTCCATATTCTATCCAAAACACAAGGAAAGTCTGTAGGGGTGGTTTTTGTTTTTTGTTTAGTTATGCAAAAATAAGTACTCACACTGTTTTGGTGAATGAAGATGAAAGAAAAATGTTGCTGGTTTCTTCCCCAGAGATCACATTTCTTACTTGTCACAAAAGTCCTTATTTAAGCATTAATCATCTTAGCCTGTGCTGTGTAGACAACTCTGTTTTTTTAGAGGATTTGTACTGTTATTTCTTCTACAGTGTTAATTATATATTACACTATAAAAACTATGTTAAAAGAACTTCATTAAGATTGCAAAATAAAAAATTCACCAATTAGGAAATGCTGGAATTCAAGTTGCTTGTGCAACCTTAATTCAGCCCCTTTGTGCACACAGAATCATAGAAATGGAAGGGACCTCGATAGATCATCTAGACCAGTCCCCTGCACTGAGGCAGAAGTAAGTATTATCTAGGCCAGGGGTCGGCAACCTATGGCACGCATGCCAAACACAGCATGTAAGCCAATTGTTAATGGCACCCTGCTATCTGCCGGACCTGGGCAGACAGCAGCGTGCCACTAAAAATTCTGCCCGGCCCGGCCTGCTCTTTTCCGCCCCCCGCACCTCACTCTCTCCTTGCAGGGCAGGCAAGTTTCCCCTTCCCCCCGCCTCTTCCCCCAGCGTGCTGGGTTCCTGCCCCTCCTCCTCTTCCTCCCTGCGGCTGATCAGCTGTGAGGTGAGGGCAGAGGGCTGGGTGTGTGTGAGGAGGGTTCAGGGGTCAGGACAGTGAGCTGGGGTGTGTGAGGGGGTGCAGAGGTCAGGGCAGAGGGCTGGGGGTGTGCGCTGGGGTCATGGGGGGTGCTCCTAGCCCCCTGCCCTGCTGGAGGGGATATGACCTGATTCCACCCCCTTCCCCAAGGTCCCCGGAGCAGAGAGCGTGCTGCGGCTCCGCTTTTCCCTTTCCCCCTCCGTAGCAAGGGCCGTCAGCTCATTGTTCAATGTGTAGCCTGAGGCCTTATATATGGCACTATTCAAATCCTGCTCTGAAAACAGAATTATTAATTTCCTCATGGGCTTTTCCATGGCACTCATCACTATAGTATCCAAGTGCTTCACAAACATTAATTAATGTAAGACCCCTATGCGGTGAGGGGGTAGTATTATCCCTGTTGTACACATGGGAAGCAGAGACAATTAAGGTACAATGCATTCACTAATTTTGGGTGTCCAATTTAAGATGCCTAGGCACTTAGCACAGAACACTTAGCGTTATATAGCACTTTATATGTTCAAAGGAAACCTTCCAATGACTTCATTTACAACTCTGAGTGGTCACTACTTCTGCAAATCATCTCCCAGGTTCTCAAGTTTGGTACCTAGAAAAGGAAAAACACACAGTTAGGTACTACCTCTGAAAAGTTTGGTTTAAGTGACTTGCTTAACATCACCCAGGAACTCTGTGGCAGAAGCAGGGATTGAATTCAGTTCTCCAGAGTGGCATTCAGTTTCCTTAATGATGAGATTCCTCCTTTCTCTTCCTACAATCCCCAGCCTCATTCAGTACATACTTTCCAACTCCTGCTACAAATGAAACAGGGGTCCTACAGAAAACAACCTTCTTCACTGCACTGCCCTGCTCCATCCCCGGAGCAGGTGCATCCTGTGCACTGAATGAGGCAGGGGTTGTGGAAAAAATAGTACGTTATCATGTAATTATAGACTGTATCAAACGCATACACACCAGGGGAGCAAACTGAGGTTGCACAAGCAAACTTCAGCTCCAGTCTCACTGGACTCCTTGTTTGAGTTACTCTGTTTCCTTCTATCTGTTCTGGCTTTTGTCTCCTCTGCATTTGAATCAGATTACTTCTTCCTCTACAATGCCTTGGGTGCAAGCAGGAGGGGATTGTTGAAAACACAGAAGAGACAGCTCCCTGCTCTTTGTTCCAGTGCCTGACTCAACTCCAGCCTGGAGTAGCTGGGAACAGTCATTACAAGGAAAACTCTCCTGAGCCAAAAAGAAGTGAGCTGTAGCTCACGAAAGCTCATGCTCAAATAAATTGGTTAGTCTCTAAGGTGCCACAAGTACTCCTTTTCTTTTTGCGAATACAGACTAACACGGCTGTTCCTCTGAAATCTGTCTCCTGAGCCAATGTATATTGCGTTAGGCTGGACCATGCTCAGTCTCTCTGTGGCTTGGCCACAGGATTAGTCTCGTCAGCAGCACTAGGAGCTGTGAGGGCACTGAGCATGCTCAGTGAGGATAGAAGCTTAGGAGACTTTAGCTGTTAAAATCAAAGAAGTCTCTACTTCGCGTGTGCAAACTGCAATTTTACAAGGTTTATAATATGGGCAAATGTGGGTGGATTTTCACAGGGATGGCAAAAGGCACATCCTAGACACAAAGGCTATCCCTGCCCGCAGCAGATTTCAGGTCCCTGCTCCAAAGGATGGGGGCATTCAAAGAAAAGGTCTCAAGATGTTTTTAATATGGGCATAACAGTGTATTTTTCCCTGACTTTGTTCTTGGATGTGGCTGAACTGTATTGGCTGAACAAAACAATAGAAATAAAGCAGACACTCAGCGACATCCTCCCATTCCTGCACTGCAAATGGTTACAGGTTGACAAAATAATAAACTGAAAAAAGGGTCTTATAATGGGAACCTTTATTAGAGGAGGTGTTGCCAGCCCAGTGTGTAACTATATACATCAAATTATTGATGAAGTTAACAATCACTAATAGGCAGTTTTAGGTCTAATAAATGCAATAGAACTCTTCCTAACAGATTATGTTTGAAAGGGGAAAGTGGACTCTGTTGTTAAATATACTACAGTATTCTGCAGCAATGGTGCTGCAGAATTACGCAGAATTACAATGATGCTGCAGCTTACAACAGAGTTACTGTAGTGGTTTTTGACTGTTCCTGTAGAATACTACAACATATTGAAGGGTAAGGTCATATATAGCCTAGTCAATTTAATTCAGTTAGTGAAGCTTTTTAGTTTAAAACTATCAGTTCCATATTTTAGTAGCAGTTTTTCAAAAATACCTTAATTTGAATTCTCATCCTTCCCTTTTGGAATTGTAAAACATCTCTAAATTATTTGACAGGATCTGTGAGCAATCAGAGGCAAATTGAAATAATGAGGGAGCAGCCACTGTATATGAGAAACCTAACCAAATTGCAGGGTATATTTTGAAGAAAGGTCTCCATTAGAGGGGGAGAATCAGCGTAAACTGCCTTAAACAACCAGACAGTTTAGGAAGGTTGGGCACCTCCTCCCCCCACTTCCTCCCCTCCACCCAAGATCCCTCACTGCATAGAAATAACTGTTCTTCCCACAGAGTAGGTGTCTAGTTCAAGCAGCCAGCGGTGGGTGTGGCCAGCTAGATACTGGAGCAAGCTCCTGCTGCTACACCACCACAGAAAATAGAAAGGCAGAGCAAAAGCAATAGCAACAAACCCTTCCAGAAATCAGTAACCGATTGAAGTGTATTTTTTGTGCATGACAAGGTCACACTGACAACAAGACTGGAAAGCTGTCTGCCCTCCTTTCTTGGAAAACTGTGCAAAGTTTTTTGTGTTTTTAACCCTTTATATTTCTGCAGTTGGGGGGCGGAGGATGTGGGCGTGTGGGAGAAACAGCCCTAAGAAACCAAACCGAACAGCTCCTAGGGCACCATCTGAATAGAGTGTTTTATTTTCAAACCCCCCACCCCTTCCCTCCGTTGCGACTGCTAAAAAAACAAACCCAGCATTTAACGGCCCCTCCCCCGCAGCCTTCTCCAGAAGTGATCAAAATAATAAGGGGGGAAAATCCCGTTTCCTAAAGCGGTGGTATTTCAGATACCCTCATCGTCCCCCTTCCAGCCACCCAACGAAGTTTGTTTGTCTAGAGGAATAGCCTCCGATTGAATTTTTATCCTGATCTTACCGCCCTCCCCCCCTCCCCACCCAGCTTGCACTTTCAGGCACTTCTGGGCAATGCAAGCCCCTTTTTGCCCCTCACGAGGGTCTCCTGCAGGATTTTTTTGGGTCCCTCTTTCCGCCTTGCCCAGAATCTTGTTATTTGCAAGAAACGTCTTTTTGACGCAGGAGAAATGGCAAATTTTAAGTACGTCATTAATATGGCGCCAAAAGATTTTTTTTAAGTATAAGCTTATTTTTTAAGGTTGCAGCAGCCCAGCGTACGCCCGTGCCCATAGCTCGGAGAAGAGAGGGGGAGTGAAACAGAGGGGGGAGAGGAGGTAAAGAAGTGTGTGCGTTCCACGGCTCCTGCTGAGTGTGTTGTGGTGTGTGGATGTGTGTGCGTGTACGCGGCTGGGGATCATTGCGAAAGCGACCTGATCAGACTTGTACAGTGTGTGTGAGCAACCCGACCCCGCTGCTAGAGACCCAGAGCAAAAGAGAGATGGGGACCCAACGCATCGGGGGGAGGTGAGCAGCAAGGGGGGGGGGGAAGAAGGGAGGGGGAGAGAAGGCAACACATGCACAAACACAACCAGAGATGGGACCCATGTCTGCTGCACCTGGACCTGCTGCTGCCCAGGAAGAAACAACAAACAAGAAAAAAAGAAATTGAAGAAAGATTTGGGGGGAAGTGAAATCATTCTTGATCATACTAATAATTTTAAAAGTCACTTCTCCGGTCCTCCCACCTGCCCCCCTCCTCAAATAAAAAGGTCAGCAGAAGAAGTGGTCGTTGTTGCAAAGAGATCCTAAGGAAGTCTGGGTTAAAAAAGAAACAGAAACACGCACATAGGGCTGGATCGTGCACAGAGCGGCCATCTCGGCTGGAAGCAATTCTTTTGGGTTCGCATCCATGGAGTTACTTTGTATCCACTCCTAAGAGGAGGGTGTCATCTTCGGATCCAGCAGGGGGGTTATTTCCCCCCCTCTTCATAATGATACCAGATTGATCGTGCAAAGGGGGTTTCCTGATCGTTTCAATCGCTGGAGCATCCCCCCGCCCCCTCTCCACACTCCTCTTTTGTAACCTGAGGGACAGTCTCAACTCTTTGAGGACACTCTCCCGGCAAAGGTAAAGGATGAAGGAGGATTGCATTTTGGATGGCTTTAATTTGCAGCTGATCTTTATTTTGCATCTCTCTGGCTCCCCCCCCCCCCCATTTCGCTGGGCTGGCTGCTAGGAAGGAAGGGGGGAAATGTGCAGCATTTTACCCAGATCGATTGCGCATGTTGGTCGCTCATGTTTTAAAGAGTAAAAGGGAAGCAGCAGGAATGTAAACAAGAACTTTTAAAGGGTCGGCGCAGAAGGGTTTTTTATTTTCCAAATTAATGACTGCGGCAGAGCTCACCCCAAACCGCCTCTGGGTTGGGGAGGGGGGAACAGCACAGTTAATTTTTTGCAACGGGCAAAGCAGCCAGGCATCGGGGTCCAAAGGGATCCGGATGGTTGGGGTCGGGAGGGGGGTGTGCGCGACGTGAAAAAAAAAGGGGGGGGGAGAATCTGTGAAATGTGCCACAGGAGGCAGCGAGGGCAGCTCAGCAAGGGAGAGACAGGAGTTTCATTTTGTTGATACGCAGCACGTTTTGGAGCCTTGCAATTCTTGGAGCTGGTGCACATGATCCGCTCCTCTCACGTGCTGGGGCTGCCAGGTCCCTGCCAAATCGTGCTCAGACCCAAACAATGCACCGGGGAGCGGGGAGGCAGGCAGCCTTCGCCCCGCTGGCGGCGGTGGCGGAGCCCCGGCTGCGGAGCAGCCTGGCTCGGGGCTGAGCTCCCTGGGCGCTCCGGGTTTGCAGCCCTGCTGTGGCGGGTGGGGGAGGGCCAGCGAGCGAGAGACGCACGCTGCTGGGGGCACGGCGAGGTTTGGGAATGGAAATGTACAGGCAGCGGCCGCGGCAGTCCGGCTGCACGTTGGGGACAGGACTGTAGGGGGCATGGCTGTTGTTTACCTTCTCAAACTCTCACGGTTCCCGGCGGACTCCTCTGGGGGCGTCTCATCCTCTCCTCCATCTCTGCCCGCCCAGCCCCGAGCCAGTCTCCGCTCTCTTGCTCATCCCTCTTTCCTTTCTGCTCCCGTGCATTCCCTCACACCCCTCCGCGCTGCTCGCTCCTGCGCTCTGCCCTTCCTCTCGCTTTCATCCCTGGCTTTCTCATCCCCTCCATTCCTGTCTCCTGTCCAGTCCCTCTGCTCCGTGCAATGCATCCCATTCTCCTCTGGCTGCCTCTCTTGCATCCCTTTCCCTGGCTTCCTGGGTTTGTATCCATTCTCTTTCCTTTTCTCCTGTACCCCATCTTCATCCCTCTTGCCTGCGGCTGCCTCTTGCTGGCTTGCATCCTCCCATTCCCTTCTCCCTCCTGCCCCCTTCATCCTCTTCTCTGCCTCTCACTGCCCCTCTCCTTCTGGCAGGTGCTCATCTCTCATGCACAGCAGCCCCTCCTGTTTGTTTTCTGCAAGGGTCACGTCTTTCTTCCAGGAGATTCATTCAGCAGCATTTGAGGGAATCCCTTTAAGCAAAGATGGGAACAAGAAGTCCTGACATTGAGCAACAAATATTCCCTCTCATCCCCTCTGCTCTCCCCATACAGCCCCTCTTCTCTCTCCATTTGCTGGGGGAGAGACATAGACATCCTCCAAAATGTCCTTCTCACTTTGGGGTTTCGTTCAGACCTGGGCACATTAATACAGCCCTGCCCCTCCTGCTCTAATACAGTCCCCCTGCCCCCACCCTTCTCTGTGTCTCATTATCTCACTCTCATCTTTACTCTTCCATGCTCCAATCCCTTGTACACATACATGCTCCCACTGGTTCGCCCTAATTCTCACACCCAGTCTCTTATAGCCCTTCTCAGGCATGCACTCCATCTCTACCCTTCACTGCTAGAGAGAGACCCATAGTCTCCCACTGGCCTCGTGATACCCATGCTTTCTGTTCCTGCCAGCATCTCACTGGCCCCCTGGTGTTTACCTGGTTTCATTCTTTTACTGATCTATCTTCCTCTTTCTATTTCACTGGTTTGTCTACTCCCCCATCCCTTTCGTGCTAGTTTTTGCCGACTTGTTCTCCTCTTTCCCTTCCTCTAGGGGGAAGCAAAATGCATCCGAGATAGCATCTTCTTCAATGTTTATTTTGCAAAGCAGGTACCCTGCTCCCTTGTATCGCATGTGCACATAGTTTACAGAAATAGGAGTGAGCTCTAGAGAAGGTTTATTTCGCTCTTGAATGACTGGAGGGACTGCTGGGGGCCCATCAATGTCTCTGGGGAATCATTTAATGATCAGCACTTACCTCCTACTTGCACAATCTTGACCATATTTTTTACAAATTGGTTTGTCTCTTTGGTGGAGCATCTAATGGGATTTTAATTTTAGGAACTGGGTTTACATTTAATTTGGAGCTAATTGCCTTTTCGAGTGACAGTGAATCCGTCTGTCAACCTTGAAAGGTGCTTTCAGAGTGAAAAGTGTGGGAAGTTCGGAACTGCTTCTGCAGGGTACAAAAGCTACTGGATTTTCAGGCTCAGGTGCAATTGTGGAAAGACCCCTGTGTGTCCCTAAATCCCATTAATCTTTTGAACAGCAAGTGCAAATCTCAAACTACCTGGCAAGATGCTCTTTCCAAATACCAAACCAATTTGTTTTCTTCCCTTCCCCCACACCATCTATCATTATAAATAATGCAATTACTGTTTTAAATCTGGATCCCCCTTACCAATGAGATCTTTCGAAATGAGGATTTGGCTCCACATAAGGTGGAGCTCAGCCTCTCTCTCGGGGTAAAGAGCCTTCTTGGTTTTAGGAACAGTGTTGGACCTTTAAGCATTTATTAGCCATTGAGGTTAAAGTAATTGCGAGCTAGAAGTAAAAATAGTTTGCAAAAAGGCTAGGTTTGTTTTTTGGTGGGAAAGATCAGGTGGGTTTCTGAAAATCAAGGCTATGTCCAGAGTCTGAGTTAAGGGTTATAGGCAGGGAGGTGAAATTAATTTAATTCAATTGTGATTCTGCTAATAGAGCATTTGGCACGAAGCTCTGAAAGTTGCCTGACGTGGTCCTCAAACTGCCAGTTCAATAAGGATTTGATCTTGTGGGATTTTGTGCATGCTCTGCAAGGTTCTGAGTGCCCTTAACTCCCCTGGACTTCAGTTGGAGTTGAGGGTGCTCAGCAACATGCAGGATGGGGCCATTGATTCTGTACACAGCATGCAGTGCCCATCCTCATTTACTTTTCTCTCTATATTTGTGCATAACGAATTTTCAGTGCATGACACCCTCTTCGTGCCCAGAGTAACCTCTCTGATGTCCGTGACGGGTTTAAACATGTGGAGAGAGCTGGTTAAAGAGAGGATGAAAATAAAAGTCAGAAAAGGAAAGGAAGGTCATAAATATGAGTAATAAAGAAAAAAATCCCCTTCTAGATATGGAAAAAATGCAAAGCAGAGGAAGTGAGCGGGACTTGTTTTGTTTTAAATTTAAATGAGATTAAAATTTGCTCCAGGACCCAAGACAGCAAACGTGCTTAGTGCAGAGAAGAACAAGGGTGCTTGTCTTTTACTTAGACACTTTAGATGCCCTTTGCTCTAAGGCACTGAAATTGACTGCAACCCACACAGAAATTAATGGGTCAGATTCACCACTCCGGATGCAGTGGGGTGCTGTATGACACCACCCAGGCCTGTGGGGACGCTGCTGCAGATGATGCATTCATCCCCAGAAAAGGGCAGCATTAAAATCCAATTGAGGTTTCTTATTTGAAGCCTGCCCAGGAGAGCCAGCAAGCTGGGAGCCATCCTGTCTCAGGCCAGCTACAGACACTTTGCGACTGTGCTGGCCAGCTCCAGGCTTCCCATCAGAGCAAGGGTTGTGGGTGGTTTGCAGTGCTGGGCAGAGGTGGAAAGGTCTGGGGAAGACAGTGGAGGAAGGGACCAGAGGGCAGTATTTTTTCTCTAATTAACATAGCAAAGTGTCTTAATTGAAGCGAGAGCAGGCCAGAAGGCAGCACATGGGGGACAAATCGTAGCTTAAAAAATATGTAATGAATCACAGCAGTCTTAAATAGATGAAGTGAACTCCTGGGATGTTAGCAGGGTTAGTCAATGGAGTTGATTCATGGCTCCCCTTTCCTCTCCCTTCCACTGACCAACCCTCCCTGCATTCACATCCCGCAGACCCTGGCTATCCCGCTCTTGTTCCTCAGCACCCAGCTGCCCAAGACCCTGATCTCTCTCTTTCTCTGCCTCCTTCTCTCCCAGCCCTCTTCTTGTCCCTAATGATAATGGAAGATCCCCTCTGCCTTTCTGTCCCCTTCTCAAAGCTGTGCGCATCAGCCTTCCCTTTTCTGTCTCCCAGGAATAACCTCCAGAAGTCTCAAGTCTCTGCTTCTCTGCCCTGACCCTTTTCAAGCACCTCCTAGGTAATGAGGACTTGCTTCCCCAGCCAAACTTTACCACCAGGACCTAAAAAGCAGGAAATTGACGAAGAGAAGCCTAGATACCAAGCCATTCTCATTTCTCTGGACATGTAAGGTTCCTTGGTCTGAGGGCCAGGGCGCCCGCTTGGGAGGCAACAGGGAATTGGGTGGATCGATCAGGCATCCTTGTTTGCAGCCGGGTCACTGGGCAAGTGGTGGCTCAGGCCTCCTGCCTGGGGCTAAGGCTCAGGCTTCCTGCCCAAGGGCTAAACAGATAAACAGCCAAGGGCTCATCCAGCACCAAGTGAAGGGCTGGGAATAGGGGGATCTGGGCCCGCCCTGCTTCACCGGGTCCCAGCCCAGAGCCCTAGAAGCGATGGGTGGTCCTGCCAGAAGGTTGGCAGGGAAGCGTGGGCTAGCTGCCTTGTCTCCCAGCAGCACAGCCGAGTCAATGTCTCACCTCCCTGGGCTACTGGCGGCTGGTGAGGCTGCTCCACGGCTGCTGGGGACTGATTCCTCCTCTCCATGTTGAGCGGATCACTCTCCGCTTCCTCTCTGGGTCTCCATCTTGCAGGGCAGCGGCTGGCCTTCTCCCAGGCCGACTCGGGGGACCATCGTCTGCCACAGCTGGTTGAGGGTTCTGCTGGCACTTTGGTGCCCTGGGAAGGACATCTGGCTCCTTCCCTGGCCTGGCCACAACTGAATTGCAAGTTCAGGGCCCTGCTCTTATACTTTCTGTCACACCCCCCTATGTCCTGTGAGGGGGGCGGAGCTTGGTTAGCTGGTTAGATGAGTTAACCCAAGGTGGGTTAATCCCCTCTGTCCTGGAGTGAGGCCGCTCTGCATCACACATGCCTTGATGATTTACCAGCAGAATCAGGGAATCGGGGGGTGATTGGGCCCAGTGTGTGTATTTCCTTGCCAGGCTTTAATAATGCTCTCTAGAGATTTGTTAACCATGTGAAGCTAATTCAGCCCTGGTGTAAGTGGGAAGCAGTGCAACATCCATTGAAACCTTAGGAGCTGCTCTTAGTCATGTCAGGGTTGAATTTGACCTGTGGCGTTTTTGCACAGCAAATTCTGCCCCTTAACTGAAAGGTTTGTTCTCTTGTTATCACAAAGCAATCTAAATATACCAAATGCAAAATCCCCATTGGAGTCCATGGGAGTTTTGTCTGAATAATGATTGAGTCCTGTAGGATTTGGTTCCAAAAGTGTAAAGGTAAAATTTATGTCTCAGTCCAATGAGGATGAAAGAGCCTGTGACAGTATAATATCTAAAGCCTCCCTATCCTCTTCTCTGTATGTTATACCTGTCTAATTGCCTATCATACAGACCTCAAGACAAGGCAAATAAACAGTTAACACAAAAGGGAAAACACAATGAGCTGCCCCATTCTTCTAATTCACAAAAATGGAATGGCAGTTCCATGGGTTGTTATAAGAAAGTTACTGATTCGGAAAAAAGTTTCCTAAGTTGCCACTGGGGCTACTGCTCTCTATTTGTATTTCTGTTTCTTTATGTTAGTATTAAACAGAGAAGTTGTTTCTCACAGCTCCCATTGGAATTTAGGAAGAAAACACAGAATTCAATGTATTTTTCACAACCATCACACAAAATAAGAAGTCGTTAGAGAGGGGAAGCTATGAGTACCAGGGAAGGTCTTAGGATAGGCATACCTCCCCTCAAAAACAAACCCAAAACAAACCAGAAATATATGGTGACCAAATAATTTTTTACTGTAATTTTCTCTCCAGAGAACGTATGTAGATTAGAGTTGACTCTAGGGGCTGCAGTCACATGTTAAAGTGGTTTAGGAATTTGCGAATAGAGTTTGCTGTATAATTCTGTCTTTCATGTTAAAGAGTGCCTCTATAGGAGAGACCTTTGCAGTCAAAATTATATTAGCATCTTATTTTATTCATGCTCCTTAGTGACCCGCTGTAGAGGTGGTCTCAGAAATTGCCTGCTTAGAATGCATTTTTCGGAAAGTAACTGTATTTTGTAATGGGGCATTGTTAGGCCATGGTTCTGTGCTTGAGTATGAACTGTAAAGCTGAAACCAGAGGGGAGTTCAGGGAGATTTTTGTGCTGTGGCCCCCATGGTCTGTGGAACCATTCATCACAGGCATATGTGAAGTCTTCTAGCACTTCCGCTTCACCTACAATATCCGAGAATGCTTTATTCTACCAAAATGTTTCGTTGCAACCCT